CAGGTGCAGCGTGGGGAGTCCGGGCCCGGAGCTGGGGCTGCCGGGGCTGGGCTCTGCCAGGGCACCGCAGGACCACCACCCGGCTTATCTCACACTGGGACTAGGAGTACCTTGAAGTGCTTTCTTCGGACTGTGCCCATAAGCACACTAATTGTTTTTAAATAGCTCCAAGAAGTGAACTGTTGCCAGTTGGAATCACTTCCCTGGTGAAAGAACGTGCTGCTTTTCCATCATCTACGTATTAATGTTTTGGAAAAGTGACAAGAGGAAAGAATAAATTTGGAGGAGGAATTTATTGCTGGGCAGTCTCTGCTTGCTTAATCATGGGTTCAAGGCCATCCAGGCCCAGGTCCCCCTAAAAACTCCAGGGTTCAGTCTAACAGGCTGCCTCAGCGCAGACTGCGTTGCCGTGGTGTGCACATACCTGACTTTGCCTTCGGAAGGCCCCTGCCCTTGGTTCCCAAGGTGTTGCTGAGTAGCAGTGAGTGTGATCGCCCTGCATTGCCGATGTTTATCTTCTGCTGCGATATTGCTGGAGCATCCCAAATCGGGTCACTCCCAGCAACGTGGGCAGAAAAAGTTCAGGTTATGATGCTCTGAGTTTTTTACTATTCTCAGACAGTTCTTCGCCTTTGGTATAGTCACAGATTTATAGGAAAGCTGGGAAAATACCAATAAATCTAGACATACAGAATATATAAGCAGGAAAAAGACATGGATATTAACCATATTCTCCAATGACAACGAATTCCTTAGCTGATATTTAATACATTTAACAATATTGCAAAGGCTCACCTGAATTCTGTATATATAGATTCCTAAATGATCTATAGAATAAATATTTACATATTTCCATTTCCCATAAAGTACAGGATAGTTTTACTTTCGTTTCAGAGATGGAACCATAGCACCTAAAAACTCTATCTAATTACAAGCCCATTGCATTGAGTAGAGGAAAAGCAGGAAGATAATGAGAAGTAGTCCTCTTCCTGAGGAATATTCAGTCTAAAGAAAGATGCTAGATAAAAAGTAGTAGAAAGGAAATATTATTAGATGGGGAACTGAAGGACAGATGGGTTATCTGTTTGGCTAAAGAAGGGACAGGATTTGTCCATGTAACATTTTGCAGACAGAAATGGCTATGTAACTTCAAATCTGGAACTGCTTCATGATCTCACAGTTTGTAAAATAATAGGATAAGCTCTTATTTACTTATCAAAATTACTTGGACAAGACAAGGGAATAAAGAGGAGAGAATTGAGGGATCTATGCACATGTTCTAGCCACTAAGATTCCCCCATTTATCAGAAAATTTCACAATGTTTGATCATTTCTGATTGCAAATACTGTGCCAAGTTCCTCATTAAGTATGATTTGATTCACCCTTCATCTTTCCATTGCCTTGTACATCTTAATTGCAGGAGGAAGAATTTTTTATTTCTGCAGTAATTATCATGATATAATGTTAGTATTTATTGGTTCTGAAGTACTGCAGTACAGAATACTTTCTGTGATCTTTTGGCTATAATCACCAAATTCAACACAGATTCATAAATAGGTTGATATTATTCCAACCAAAAAAATGTCTGTGGAAAAAAAGAGTTATGTCCTGAAAAAATTGCTCAGTCCTACCACAGAAAAAGTACGTAAGTCTGTCAAAATTGCATTAAGAATCAACTGGAGACCTATGAAATACAGCTTTCTACCTGGCCCATGCACGTTGTTGCCTCTGTACCTCCAACTCCTGCTGTCTGCAACATCCTAGGAGTGATGCTAATTCTGATTGCAAACTCTGTGGGTCAAGCAAGAGTCACAGCTCAGGGGAGATTTATGCGAAACTGTCTGTAGCCTGGTCCTAAGATTTGAACACCCATTTGCAGCTGTGGTGCATTAGGTGCTTTCCTGGGACACTTTATCTGCTTTAGTGTCTTTTGAAATAAATTCGATATGTTGCTCCAAAACTGTGACACACAGTGTAAACCAAAGCACAGTGAGCAGGAGTGATTTGGAGGTTGACTTTGAAAGCCTTTGAAATCAAGGCATTTTTATTTACTTCTTTGCTAATTTTTCTCATATGGGAATGTATAAGATGAAGAAAACCAGATATTTTATAGATAGGGGTTTTTTTAATGCAATAGAAGAAAGTTCTACTATGGATATTATAAACAAGCATATGGGTTATAGTCTGTGGATAGGTATTCTCTGCCCGGTTAATCTGTAGGAACTCCTCAACTTTATTAGATTTTTTCATTATTCTTTATTAAGAGTTTAACTGGTAAAGTCAGTTCTATTGAACATTACTGGCATCATTATCATCATTAAATTCATCCATGCCAACTCTCCATCTCACGATGACCCTGTGTCAGGAAAGGTTCTTGACTGAAGAAAGGCACTCATTAATTAATTTAAGAATATGTGTTTGAGTTCCAGCAAGAACAATATGCACTAACACTTAAATGAATGATGTGTGTAGGGCTACTTGAATCGTACTTGCTGCAGAGATAGATCTAAAATATTTTTATTTTTCTGAGTGACTACCTTTTTCCTTGGGTATCCAGTCTTCCCTTAAAACCACTCATAGTATCACTGAGGTAAATAAGGTTACTTATATGCTTCAAGTCTGACATGACTAAGTACTTTGTGAAAGGAGGAGAAAATCACTTTCAGACTTAACTATTTTTTAATACTGGCATTTTTTATGACTGTATTATGGTATATTAAGGAGCAAAAGTTTTCTTTTGTCTCAGTTTTTGAAATGTTCCCCTTAACTACATTGTCCTGAAGTACTGTAAACCGACAGTCAGACTTGGCAGGTTTGATTTGCCCCTATATAGCAAAATGAAGCAGTTAACATCTCAATTAAATGTTTTCTTCAGCTGCAGGAAGTATATTAAAATTCTCACAGCAACTAATTCCCTCACAACTTAGTTGACAATTGCCAGCAGCTTCTATGAAGAACTAAGCAGCCTCATTACAAATCATCAGGTGAACTGACTGAGGTTCAATGTTTAAAGAAAATCAGAATAATAATTCTATTAAAACTGAATCACAAAGCCCCGTGGAGAGTGTTCCTAAAAGAATTAAGTTATTGCATTTTTAAACACTCATACACATTAAAGCAGCTGAAATATTGTTTCATAATAAATAGTATTGTTGATGCATATCTGATTAATTCTAATGGCTACTATCATTAACTGCAAGGTTTGTGAGCTGTGAATTTTGAGGATGAATAATTGGTTAAACCAAGTTTTGTGTATTGCAATGTAACACGCTTGTTCAATTTTCCGCTTAATTTCAATTAATAAGGGTTTTACATGTACTCTACTGTTGCAGTTTTGTGCCTATTACTTTTAATTAGGAAAAAGCAATACCTTGGTAGAACAGAACAAATGAACAACACTATGTGTTGTTCCCAAGGTTTTTTCCATTACAGATATTTCAAGCTCATATCACTTAACTCTGACCTCGACACAAGGATTTTCAGTTCCAAATAGGTATTTTTGCTATCTTTACTGATGTTTTCAGTACTCCAACATGTTTTAGTGCTTAGCATTGCATGGTAAAGTTCTTGTTCACCACTGAAATTGTGAGCTTGTAGATGCATCTATTTTATGATGGGATCGATCACCAGCTGGAGATTCTTACTCATCTCCATAGAAGGTGCCTAGACATCAGACTGGATACTTGTCTTCTGAATGTTTATTGTTAAACTGGATGAGCACCACCCTCAGAGTCATATATTATTTTTCATTTCTTTAAAGAAAATAATTGTCTGTACTTCAGTTTTTTCGTGTCATAAATTACTTCTCACATTGTTCTGCCCCTGCAGCTCAGACAGGCACATGTAAACTCCATCCGTCCTGCTTGCCAATGTCTCTATAGGAGGCAGACTCTAATAGAGTGGACAGAGTTATGTGCATTCCTTTTTCTCCTGGCTCCCCACCCATGGGACTCCCTAGCTCCTAAGGGTTGCTGCTTGACTTATAAAAGGAGAGCAAATGTTCTAGTACAGCTCTTTGTTTGTCCCCCTTCTAGAGCCAAATCTTTCCAGGTGTCTGACAAATTCCCAGCACCACTGATGCAGTTGCTTTATCTCTGACTGTTCTCACTATCCTGGTATTAAAGATTTGGTAGCTGGAATGCAGCTGGCAGCTTTGCAAGTGACATATGAGGCAGAAAAACTCCAGCCTATTCTTCCTTAGCTGGACTGGTGCTGCCAACAGAGCGTATCTGTGTCATTAATAACACTGAGTTATAAAATAAAAAACCCTTCATGGTGATGCTGAATGAATTTTTATTGTACATTTCACAGAAGCTTAAATAGAAAATAGAAATCCAGCTATCAAGTTTTAAAAGCCAAACAAAGTAAGGTTAACAAATTCTGGCTAGTCATTGCCTAACCCACATCGCCTAACCCACAGATATTTTAATGCATTCATCTGCATTACATCATTATCCTCACTTTGTAAATAGAGAGGAGCAAGAAACAAAGAAATAGGAGAGTTATTAGAGCAGGAACTTCTGGTACAGTAAAGGAGTTGTGCCTAGTTCAGTCTGTTTGCACAAGATTGGTTCTCATGTCTCTGTAACAAAAATGTCGTCTACAAGGTTACTACAGAATAGACCTCATGTTAGCATTTACACCTCAACAAAAGATTTCTGAGGATTTTGAGAGATTTTTGAGGATGGGGAGAAGTTCTTGGATTCCCCAAAACATTATATTATAATGTTCATGATACATGCTTTAAAATATACATGGAAGAGAAGTATTTGCAAAACAACATATATGTGAGGTGTGGAGCTTCACAGAGAAAGACATCAGCTGGAAAATAAAATATTTAAAGAGAACCTCTTCTTTCTTTTTTTTTTTTTTTTTTTTAACATGGTTGGTGTGTGCACCAGTAAGAGCATCTGCTATGAGCTGTTTAAGACACTTCAAAAGACTTTTTCCACCATTAATTGGTGGAACTCACCACTCACTTTGTGATGTTCCCTGGCAGGCCAGATGACTCTCAGGACACAGCATGTTCAGGACTCCAAGATGGGCTTTGTAATCAACGCAATATACTCAATGGCGTACGGCCTCCACAATATGCAGATGTCGCTGTGCCCAGGCTATGTGGGCCTCTGTGATGCCATGAAGCCCATAGATGGTCGGAAGCTCCTGGAATCCCTCATGAAGACTAATTTTACTGGGGTCTCTGGGGACATGATCTTGTTTGATGAGAACGGTGACTCACCAGGAAGGTAATGTTGACATCTGTCAAACTGTATAATACCAGACATATTAACTGTATGTAGTAAATGAAGTCAGACTTGATGTCAGAGCTAAGATCTTATATTTTTATTTTTACATTTCCTGACTTTCTGTGCTTACTTTTCCAAAATAACGTTGTTTTTTTTTTTTTTTTTTTTTTTTTTTTTTTAACATTTAAAGACATGAACTTTCAGATGTACAATATTCCTGCATGAATATGCATTTTTATCTGTACTAACTAAAGGTATTACTTCTTACTAAAAACCGTCAGACCTGCAACTTTATGTTCATAGACTATAACAGCCACCACAGCATTGCTTTCCCTCTCTTTGGGTGTTCAGATGTATGTGTTTGAGTGATAAACAATCATAGCAGACATAGTTCTTTTATTAAGAAAGGTAAAACTATCAAAAAATATTGTATTGATTTATCTGGGATTTTTTTTCTATCACATTAAAAATCTTCCATATCTTCCAAATAAGCCCTGTCCACTTGCATATTGGAATAAGCTATTAATTCATACTGTGCTTCTATAAGCCAAACTGAATGTAAACAAAGCTTCTTCTGCTGATAACTTACATACATGTATATACATACATCTGTGAAATATAAGACAAGTTTTTCTTTTTCAATGGCATATATGCAGTATCCATATCAATGCACATTAAAAAGAGTAATGAGGTTTTTTTCCGTGTTTCTGCCTATTAGATTCTCAGAAGACAGTTGTCTTCTGAGAAAGGAAACAGTAGTTGTGATAACCTTCAAAGTATATTTCTCCCCCATATTTCAGTGAGTAGATTCCTGACTTGTTCCCTGTTTTTGCTCCAGTTTGGTTGCGGGAGCCCTTTCTGTCGGCATTATTGGGAAGCTTTTAAACATCTTTGAGATGTCACCATATAAACCAGATGACTGGTGGGAAAATTGTTTATCCTGTACACTCATTTAAGTTTTGTCTTCTCCCACTAACATGAACTGAAAAGAAACCTCTAAGTAGAGATGGGTAGGAAAAGGTACATCCATTGGTCAGAATTTTTTGACATTTTTTAAAATTTCTGCAATTTCAGGACTGATTTTTTTTTTTTTTTCCATTTTATTTGAAAACCTGTGAAGTCATCATTGTCCCCAAAAGAGAGCAGAACAACCACCTACAAAGCAGTCTGTGTCTCTGGAGACACAAATTTTCAAATTCTTCAGACTCAGACTATAAGGAAGTGCACTGTGAGCTGGTAGGAGAACTCAGACACAAACTGGCAGAAACACAGTACATTTTTCCTATGGAAATTTATTTTCAGCTGTTCTGGTGAGCAAGGCTGTCTTCCGCTAAACATTTCTATTTTTACAAATTGCTGAATTCTGAAGAAAAGTGCTCAGTCTGGATTTTTCTGACCAACTTCTTTATAAAATATTTGTCCCAGACTTCTCTAAGAGGATTCCTGTTTGCCTTTAATGGTGCTCAGATGCAGTTGACTGCTGACTGCATGCTACCTGATTCTTATGTTTCACTCATTTATTGCAGAAAGACTGAGGACTGCCATGAATAAATGATAGGTGGCATGTCACAAATAAATGATATGTTGCATGACAACACCAATGACTGTATCTAATTGTTACAAAGACCTTTAGCTTTACCTTTTCCTCATGTTGACATGCTTAGCAATAAAAATTTAATTCAATTTGTTGCAAGGAATTTAACTAAATGTCTTAGGTTTTTTAAAATTCAGTTCTAAGAAAGATGTTGAAGAAATTATCATGTGCAGTCAGCTTGCTTAGTCACAGTAGGACATTAGTGTTTCACTGAAGAGCATGGGGCCATCATGTTGATTGTTCACCTTAGGGTAACACAACTTTAAGAAAGTCCAGGCTCACTGGATTTATGTGAGATATGATAGTGTTCTGGCTACTTAAACTAATGGACTGTGCGTGTTGACAAAATGTTCCCAGAGTTTGTTTACTTTTGAAACATATTTCTTTGTTCCCTCTCCTCCTACAATAGTCACATCATTAAATCCATTTTGTGTGTTTAAATTAGACAACATTGAGTCAAAATTTACTTTTTCATGATTAAGAAGGTTTTATAAGAAGCTCTATCTTTAGCACCCAGACTTTGAATAGATTATAGTCTTTTGACCACTGTCAAACACTATTTGCAACATCTAGGAAATGGTGCATTTATACTGGAACAACTAATCTCCCCAGTTCACTTGCATTGATAGCTGCATCTTCACTTTGTAAAATGGAAATTTAAATCCTCACAGCTGTACTGTGTGGTGGTGTTATGCAGCAGAACATAAAAAGCCTTTCTGACCTAGATAGCTCAGGATTTTGATGTATAGAAAAAGGGCTTTGATATTCTAAAACAGATGATAATCCCACTAGATGCTTTGAATCCTGGCTCTGTTCCAAAGTCCTTTATGTGTATGTTGAGCTTTAAGCAGATAGACAGTCTAATGGAGGGCTCGTTTTAGGCGAGACAGAAGACATGGAAAAAAACAAATGAGTACGGAAGGAACAGCCAGGATTTCTCAGGAATATAGCAACTATCTGTAAATGCTATCAAAACTCCAAAGAAGAAATTGAGAAGACAAGAAAAGGCAAGAAAAGCAAGATTATGATGTTTAGGCTGTGCTGGCAATAAAATATGGATTCTCAGCAACTTCACGGCAATTGTTTTGAAACAAGTGTTTTGCACTGTGATTAGGACACTGCTGGAAATGTGCTATTGCACCATCTGGTCTCTCCTATCCTAAAGTGACAAATTGTCCCTGGGGTATCTTAAGGAAGCTCCAGGGAACCAGTGACTCACGAACCTCCACTATAGCAATAGACTTACTGAGTCTGGTTATTACTATGAATCCACCAATGCTGTTCTCCACAGGGAAGAGAGATGCAACATACTGAAACAATAGTCTATTTAATTTGTTAGGTGTCTTTCCAGTATTCCTCTTGGGATGTATGCATGGAACTACTACTGCTGGCTTACGTGGTTTAGGTTCTGTGGCCTATTAAGCATTGGCAGTATTTTGATTCATCTGCCCATGAAATTCTGAATTGATAGTTTTAGCAAAGTAATACTCAGGGGAGTGTTACCATGTCCTGACAATGCTGAATAAGGACTCAACAGTGACTTCTGGGCTAACTATTTGGTTATTCTGTTTAATCCTTGAACAGACTGTTACTATACCTGTGAACCTCAGGAAAAAAACTTGGTTTATAACCATGTGTAAAAGTCTATTTATTCAGGTTTGTATGTGTGCTTTCTGGATTCACTTCATTTGTGCCAGTCTGGCATTCTTACCTCCAACTTTGATGAGGTCATTCTCAAAGATGTGGACGTTTCCTTCTTTGTACAGGATGGCAAGTCAAATGTCCCAAGTTCCAGGGGTACCATAATTTTTTCTTCCTTGTTGTGTCATTGCTCATTTTTTCTTTTTTTTTTTTGGAAAGACTCGAGAATCAGTTATTATGGGTAATATCTTATTACTCATTCAGTCAGGCTCCACTTTCATTTTCTTGCAGAGGTTGCTTGCAGTCCTGATCCTGACCTGTATGTGATTTTGGCATTGAATCCCTGCCATAGTTCCCCTGCTGTGACAGTTAGAATCTGTTTCCGGTTGCAAAGCATCCTGAGATCCATGGATGGAGAATATTATAGATTAATTTTACAGTAAATCTGTTTTATTAAATGTGGGGAAAATATTGATTGTCAGTCTTAAGATGTTTCCTCAAAACTTAAGAGTGATACTTGGGTATCTTAGTTAAGAAATTGTTTGATTTAATGAGCTGGTTCTTTTATTTATCTCCACATTGAACTGTACAAAATACATTCTGAAAATATATCTCTTAAAACAACCCTGTTCATACGCTTTGCCTTGGGGACTCGTTTTATGCCTGCTGCCAGGAAAAAGTTGTCTCCTTGTTTATGAATGAGGCAGGTTTTCTAAACCTATGATTGTGTTAATCTTCTCAGTCTATATCGTTTGCTTATTTTCCATCAGTTAATTTCATGTTGCTTAGTCATATTACTGCAAAATCTACTAAAGGGGAGGTAAAGAAAAACATGACATCATCGATTCAGGAATTTCCCAACTTTCAAGCATGCCTTACAATAACTGGTAAAAGAACTGTCCTGTAAGACAGAAAGGTGGTCTGGTGTTTATCATGTCAGTAGGAGGCTAGTGAATCCTACGTTGCTCTGCAGACTTTCTGTAAGACTTTGTGGGAGCTAAAAGGGAAATAGGAGGAAGAGGAACATGAACCTGAAAACTCTGATCATCTCTAGTTCTGCTCTTAACACTTCTGTTCCCAGATAACAAGGTGATCTGACTCAAAAGCAGCCTAGGACTGAGGCGTGAATACTCTTTCTCTTCCGTGCCATAATGTAGAACGAATTATGAGTTCTGATCAATGAGGAATTATATAAAAATGGAGGGGGTTGTATAAGTGGGAGAGAATAACATTTGCTGCTGAAATGCTGTAGAAGAAAAAGAAAACAAACAAACAAACAAACAAACAAACAATTCTCAACTCCATTCTACAAGTACCAGGCCTACAAAGTGTCTCTTGATAAGAAGATCCTGCTGAAGCCTCCAGCAAGTCCTGAAGTCTGTGCCTCAAGAATGATGTCTGATTCTTCTCTGGGTACCTCACCAAATTGCATCCTGAAGTCTTACAGCAGAGGAAGTTTCTTTTGATCCCACCAGTCTAGGTTGCATCTTCCTTGCTTTAGGAGCTTAGCTGTCTTCAAGCTTCCTCTCTCGGGAGTGGAATAAGCACCTGCAGACAATGAGAAGCACTTAGAGTTGGGAATTGCCATTACAGGTTTAGATTTCTCTGAATCTTATCTAGTAGAAGAACAGAACAGCTAGGGTTCCCTATGCAGCTGACTTCAGTATTAAAAGTTACACAGGATGAATCTTCTCTGATCGTTTCACTGTTTTCTTTAAATACAGTCATTCTCTGAAACACAGTCATTTAGACCCAAAGTGTTGAGAGAACTTTCATGGCCCTAGAAGAAAACAAAATACAAAGGAAAAGAAAGATTATGATATCACAAAAATTATTGAGAGATTCAAGGGCAAGCATAATGCTTGAAATTTTGCCTTCTTTATTTCAACCAGCGTGATTTTGACTGTGTCATGTTCCTTTAATTTGAAATATTTCATGGTGTTCTTCTCAACTCGGCTATGTCTCCCCTTTGTGTTTCCAAAGATATGAAATCATGAATTTTAAGAAAATGGGGAAGGACTACTTTGATTATATCAATGTTGGCAGCTGGGACAATGGTGAGCTGAAAATGGACGATGATGAAATATGGTCAGAGAAAAATAATATCATCAGATCTGTGTGCAGTGAACCCTGTGAAAAAGGCCAGATAAAGGTAAATATTTTCTCCATTTTCTTCAGTTGTGTAGAATGCAAGGCCTTGAAATCTGAAAGCAAGTTTTTCTTGATTCTTACATGGAAACAGTTTCCCATGCCTTAATTAAAATGTACACACTTATGTGTTTAGTTCTTACTTGTATCACAGTCCTCTCACTATTTTTGTAAGTTACCATTTTCTTATACTCCTGTATCTGTGAACTGCTGATTTTTATACTTATATTCCAAATGCTTTAGAACAGGTATTGTTTGGGGGTTTTTAGCTGCATATTTTTACAGCATCTGATTCAGTGGAGTGCATATCCCTGACTGGGACTTGTCAGTACAATTGCAGGTAAATTATAAATAATAATTTCTTATATTTCATTGCTAGACATAGACACCTAGACTGGAACATTACTCCTCAGACCTTATGTCTGTCATATCATCAGAGAACATCAATAGTTACCACAACTTAGAACTGCAGGAAATGTTGGTAACTTTTTTTTTTTTTTTTTTTTTTTTAAATTGTACCTGTTTCTTTGCTGCTTTGTTTCCCAGGTTTTTGATTTTTCCTTACTCCCTTTCTATGTTGCAGTAAGGAGGTTAGATGAATCTGTTATATATTAAATGTGCTCTATTATCCTACAGCATCCCATGACACTGCAGAAGAGTTCAAATACTGCAAGTTCTTACCTTGTAGTCATTTATGTAAAAGCCTGTGGACTGAGGGGATGGGCATGGAAAACAGAGTGGTTCAGACTGAAAAAAAAGCTGAAAATTTCTGACATGTCTCACTGGAAGCTGGATCAATTTTCTCCTGTGTTAACATAGCATGCTTGCAAAACTGGGAAGCAGCTACAGTGAGGAGCTGATGGGAGGCTGATCATGCTCTGCAACACAAAGTGAATCCCTTCAGTCTGAGTTTTCCAGAGCTTTAGGACACAGTCACCATGTTTTATTCACTAACTGGTGTTTGGCAAAATCAGTAAGTGAGTTTCATAAGATCACATGTATATGTCTTCAGTGTAGTTATATACAGTTCTATCAGATTTCTGAAATTCCTTTATAGTCAATGGAAATAATATATTATTCTGGATCAGAAGTCATCTCATTTTCAGGTAGGCTTTGAAAACAGTTAAGATGAATCTCAGTGAAGAAGTGCTTCTCTCTCTTCACTGATGGTAAAGGGAACCCAGGCAGGACAGTTTGTTCAGATGAGAAGATACTTTCTGCATACACATGAAGGAAGGTGGGATGAATTACTCCCACAGTAACTAGCCAGGGGTCTGATGTTAGCTTGCTACAGCCACAAAGTCACATATTTGAGAGGATAGAGAGGGACAAACAGATAATAACTTCAGAACTGGGCAGCTCTGAGTTCCTTTATGATCTCTTACCACAACACAGGTAATGGGAAGTATTTTGTGATCTTCATTAACACAGTCTCCTTCCACCTTCTGCCCATGCTTTCAAGGATTGTCCCAAGACGATTGTCCACTATGAAGCCAATTCATCACACACTTAGTCACATGTTTGAAGTCCAGTGTCTGAAATGTTCTTTATGCTCCTTGTTAGGTTAATGATTATAAATCTCAAAGTTTACTTTGCAATCCTTTATCTTCATGGTCTTCACAGATGATAGGGAGAGAGCTTGACCCTGCCAAGCTCCATGGTGGTTTTCCTGAAGAATTCTGTGGGACTGAGTTTTTATCCAGGAATTTGAAATATTCAATGTAAAAATGTACAACACTCAGCAACGTTTGGTACAGCCATCTGAAGGACTTGATAAAATCCCCAAACCACCCAACTCTATACATTTGAAATAGTGGGGACATACGATTATTTAAATAAATACAGGTTCAAGAGATTGCCCAAATGACAAAGGGAAGGGAAAAGAATTTTTAAATAAATACAGTTATTTTTGTTAAAAGGGACAGAAAACTTTGTTTTACAGATAAGTGCTACAACAAAAGATTGTTCAAGAAATGAAAAATAAAAGGATGAATAAATAGCTGACTAAGCAATTTAATACAAAATGTCTGACCTGATTCTGAGTAGCAGAGAACAATTATTTTGATTCCTATAGAAAGATACATAAGCCTTCTCTGGATTATCTCCCAGTTAGTGGTGGGTAAGAAATTATGAGTGTACCAGTTTTCTGACTGGTTAGTCAAATTCCAAATATTTTATATTTGCAAGATGTTAATGTGGTGAAAAGTTCAACAGAAAAGTGTAAATGAGTTGTTTTCATAGGAAGTTTAGGTATTTTGATAATAAATTATGATTTCGATTTTACCATTTAATTTTCCTGAGTGTTTGACACATTGTAAAATTATGGATTTTTATAACGCAACAAGTTTACCAAAATATGTGTCTAAAAATTAGTACAAGATTTCTAAGAATTGATTTTCTCAGAAACGAGAAATTTTGTAATTTGTTCAACTTTTCATTCTAATTCAAAATAAATGAAATCCTAGGATGTGCATTCTTCCAGAGGACAGATACTCTGTTTTGCAAGTAGCTCTTGTCTCAACACTTGTAGAACAAATCACTTATGCTCCCATGGCCTTTCTGCCAGTTTAGCTATGCAGGTGTGGCTTTTTTCTTTTCATACTTTACAATTTTAAAAACAAAACCAAAAACTGAAGTTTTTAAATCCCCAGATTGCCGACTAAAATTAAATAATTTATACTTTTTTTCACTGCAGCATTGTAAAGACAAATCCAGTTCTTTTTTATTACACTCCTTTACAGTCATTTATTAAAGTTGCAATAAAGACATTTGAGTTTGAAGCCACCTTTTAAATTCATCATTGCAAAAGATATGTACGTCAACCTATTTATGCTGTAATTGGGAGTATTAGTTTATAAATTGTTTGGGAAGAGCAGATAAAATGGTAATACTTTATTTCAAAAGGAAGACATATTGACATGAAGCACAGATGTTTTCAGGGCCCAGAGATGATGAATAAGGATCTTGAAAAATCTGCATCTCAATCATGAGTGTGCAATAACATTTGGCAGAAAATTATAAAATGAGAAATCAGGTCAGATGTTAAAATTGATAAAGATAACTTTTTCACTCTCAAATGTTAATTAGAAACACAGTAATTAAATAATTCCGGAAAAGGCATGTTCAGTTTGATGTCTGAATAAAATCAGTTTTAACAAATCAGTCACAACTGAATGAAAAATAAACACCCAAAAATCTTTGAGTAATGAACTCTTAGAGAAATAACACTGTTGACTTGATTCCCTGTATGGACCACAATGGAGTGAATTATATGCCTTGAGTATCATGCACTGGTTTCTATAAGCACATTGCTAATTCTAAGAGGGGAACAGTTTACCTTACTGTCATTCTGTACCTCCACTTATATTTCTGTGGTGTTGATGGTTTCTTTCTTTTGGTACATATATGATGGGAGAAGTGAGAACTTCTGTCATATTTTGTATAAGCAAACATAATGAAAAGGAAGTCTCTTTTAAAATAAAATTTTAAAAAACCCTCTATCAAGAAAAAGAGATTAAAAATTTAATTAGCAACTGGGACAGCATGAATGTACATTTATGCTACTAAACCAAACGTCAATTTTTGTCTCAGGTGATCCGTAAAGGAGAAGTAAGTTGCTGTTGGACCTGCACTCCGTGTAAAGAGAACGAATATGTATTTGATGAATATACATGTAAAGCCTGCCAGCTCGGCTCCTGGCCCAATAACGACCTCACAGGTAAATGAGTTGTGGCTCTGTTTGTGTTGTCAATGAAAATGTTCATCTATAGAGCTGAAGAAACAAATGTCAGATACAAGTGAATATGAGGACTGTTTTGGTCAGATCAAACTCAGGGATAAAGCTTAAATTTGAACTGAGACTGGTATTTGTCTTCTCTCCTCAACCTGATCCAGGTGTAATTTGTTTGCTTTCCGAAGACCAGAGATACTAGATCTGGAAAAAAAAAAAAAAAAATAGTCCTTGTTTTGTATTCAACCATGTCCTAAATTCTAGCTGGTGGTGCAGTTCTTGTCCTTCCCCAAACAGGTAAAGAAATTAAGACCTTGTCAGATAAACTATTAAGGGAGGCCAAATTTCAGTTTTATTTTCCTCCTAAGCAGGTACAGAAGAGTCATGTAATACTTTATTTTTTAATCTGAAAAAGTTATGAACTAGTTACTGTATTTACTGCTGTTAAATGCATGAATGCTCCACACAGGCTTAGGTTTGCATTAGTCCTTTGCTCACTGGATTCTGCTAGAATACAAGGTTAATGTTCTCTTTGCCATCTCTATGCTTTTGCAGAATACCAATTTGGTTACTTTAGAGATAAATTACTCCAACACTTGTATCCCACAGACTCTCTTCTTTATGACTAATAAACAGAACTCAAGTATTCAAATGCTCAGAGCACACACCACTTCAAAATGCTACTCTGGGATCAGGTTTTTGTTGTGTCAGGCTCTGTATAGACAAGGGATGAATAGATACTTTTTTTCCAGAAGAGCTCATAGACTTGGTTGGCATGTTATTTCTATGGATGAGTGGAGAAATTTTTGAGGTGAAAGAGAGGGAAGACGAAGGGAAAATCAATTTGCTGGATAAAGTGGAAGAGTGTCAGACAAGTCTTGGCCTATAGACAGATTTTTATATATAAAGTTAATCCTTTCCCAGTAAGGAATGTTGCATTGCTGTACTATAACAACTAAGTTACCTAATTACTGCAAAAATATCATTTAGCCATGGAACTGATGGGGTATTTTTCAGAAAATGTCAAACATGAAACTTTCCCTGTGAGAAAAACTTTTAACTGAGAAAACTGAAACAGTGATAAAATGGATTTGCAACTGGTCCTCCAGCCCTGCTCCCCTAGCCCTGCCTCCCAGGCACTCAGCAGTCAGGCAGCAAAGCTTTCTTATCTCAGGGAAAGTTTTCTTTTGCCAGAAGAATGGAGAGGAAGAAAAAAAAGAGACCTGGCACCACATGTCTCCCAGAGCAGAGTACTGAGGGTGTGGTATAAGCTCAGGTTCATATCCCACCTAGGCAATCCAGAAGCCTCCAAAGCCCCTGTTGCAAGTACCAGGCCATTGGACCATGCTGGTCAGTTTATGAAGGTCAACTAGTGCAAATGGTCAAGCTTTCAACCACCTGTGGCCTTGTCTGAGATGTGGCAGATCCAAGCTCATGTCTTTGTTTCAGTGAGTACCTGAGATTTTACCCAATGTAGATCAGCTGGAAAAGGAGCTGCTACAAGTCAGTTAGGAGGGAATTTGACACAAATACCTCACCGTATCAACAGAGGACCCACTTCTGAAACATCACTGATGGGAACTGCCCATCAACCTGGTGAAGTTTAGGTAATTAACCTGTAAGCACCATATATAAGGCAAAGTGGAGCAAAAAGCCACCAGGTTGGTCTTCATGCTCTGTGCTGGCTCTCCAGGACATAAAGATCTCCATGCCCCAGGCAAGGCATCAGTCTGGGCTTGTGGGAGGATTCACCCTCTGGAGGTCTTACTTTGCCCTCAGGATGGAAGAGCAGGATGGATTGGCACCCTGAAAGCTCTTATAAGATGAATCAATGCTTTTCCACCCAGCTCTGACTGTTTTAAAAACAAGTAGCTGTCTTTTTAGTCAAGCCAACTGCTTTGCATATTACACGAGCTGCTACATTTTGCAAATCATTCATCTGGCTTTAGACATACATTTTATGCCTTTATAGGGACAAAGTCAATATGCGCACAAAAGAAGCCCTTGATATCTGTGCCAAGCAGTGTTCCTTAAGAGATCTAACCCTTGTTCCTCAATCAGGCACAAATTCAGCAGGCAGTCTTTGGAAACTGAACACCCCTTTGGCCTCCATGAGCATAGCTGATACAATATGCACTCTGGGTGATAGGACATCCATCACCATAGCTTCACAGCTGTGTAGTCCCCACCTAAGTTATGATTCATATGATGGATAGACTTTGTCTTATTTAGCTTTGTATCAAAACCAGATTTTAAAAAGTCTATTCCCAGTTTATCCATACAATATATTGAGCTGTATTTTTAATGATCATATTTATAGTCCCGACTTTTGCAGCTTGTAAAAAACTGCCTCTCAGTCTTGTTTACAACATAAGATTTAGTATTAAATGTGAATTTAAAAATATGGAGAGGGAGATGTATTTTGTATTCTGGCAAAGAAATCTCCCTTCAGTTTTATAAAGCGTACACCAATCTCCTTGAAATGTCCCTACATCTGATACTGCAGCAGTCTATGTCTCTTTGCTGCTTGATAAAACCATGTCTTAAGTAATGTCAGCTCCACAAGGCTACACACATAAAAAGCTCATTGGAATAAGTCTTCCTTGCATGATCACCTTCAGATAAGAGTCCTGTAAATATATCAGCCACACACCTGAGAAGGCTTTCAACATGGAGCTGCACCTCACTGTTGGCCAAAGATCTGAACTTGGATAAAAACATTTTTGGAATCCTTTCTTGGCTCACACAAGAAAACATTGCTCCATTTTTCTTATGCTCAATGACCAGCATCAGTTTTGTGCCACAAACTTCACTATAAAAAGTGTAATGGCAGTGATGTTGCTCACAGAAAATAAGAGAGATTAATGCTTTTTTTCAGTCATGTGTGGACTATCAGAATTCAGATGCAGGAGGGGAGAAGACAGAAGGGATGCAATATGTGTAGGAGAGCAAAGTTATTCTCAGAACAGAAAAAGACTTTGGAGTTCTGAAGTACAGAAAGGCACAGGAAGTCCAAAATTAGTGGGAAAGTCAAGTTTATCTTGTTTAAATAAGTTACTGGAAAATATCTACATCTAGAAGTGAAGCTGAGGTGAAAAAGGGAACATTTAACCGCCCATAATTTATTTTGTCACAAATTTCAGTTTCATTGTTTATATATACAACAGTCCCCAGGGACCATGCTCCTCCTTGGGCAAAAAATTAGTCATTCTATTCCTTTTCTCCTAATGTATCTATACCACCCCAACATGTACCCCAAGACATTTTTTTTTCCTTTTGGTTTAGTATCAAGACATGTTTTCTAATCTTCTGTAGCTCCCCTTCTTCCTTGTCAGCAACATCCATGCATTACAACACCACTTCACACATTAATATGACCAGTGTGACTGAGCCACATACTCAGTTAAAGCAGGAGAAACTCACAGGTTTAAGTCCAGAAGTATATGCCAACCACTCCACTATTCTTCAAAGCCCTTCTTTGCATCGTATTCACAGAGGAGGGAAGAAAAATAGATGCCAGGTGTGTTTAGATGCAAATTAAGGGATTTTCTTTACACTGAGGGCCAAACCTAAATAAGATCAAATTTTCAGTAGATTGATGAGAATTACTTTTTGGTTCTCCAAAAACCCGAGTGCCTTTGAGGACATGGCCTTCTGCATTCAAAAAGGATGCTTTGGAAAGGTCAGATAAGTTTTGTTCAGCTTCTCAGAGGTTTCTCAGTGGATACAGGAACATCTTTGTCCAGTTATTACTACTGTTTATTTAAGGATATTTTAGAGATGGGAAAGAGATAATTATTCTCTCTTTCTGTGATTCAGGGACAGCATACAACAATAACAGAATCAAAGTTTTGTCTAGTGACCTTGCAGACTGCAAGGAAAGTACATGATATTAATTTCAGTGACACTTAGATTATCTTCAGGCTGTACTGACATTTTTCTTATTTTCTGTGTACTCCAAATATGCTGGCTATTTGATTTTCTTAATTGGATTCCCATGAAAATAAGAGCTGAATTACAGTTCTTGAAATGTTTTCTTTGCCATTCAAGGCTAAGGCTGTGCATCAGAAATGTATATTTTTTTACTACAGTTGCAAAAATGCTTTCACCAAATAAGGTACAGTAAACCCAGGACAGCAACATCATGATCTTATCTGCTTGTCTGAAATTACCAGATAAAAGATGGATTACCCAAACAACCCTTGAATGGAAAGGACTGAAAAAAAGGCATCCCGCCTCTAAGTGACACAACAGCCATTTCAAATAGCTCTGACAACACTGAGGCTGTATCCTGTTTGGCTTGTAGTAATCTGGGTTCCTCACTGAAAAGTGAGGATGACTGTTTCTGTCATCCTTAGGGAATTTCTCGTACTCTCAGCGAGCACTGCAGAGAGCAGATGGGTCTGGGAACTGCTACTGTCTTGGCTCCAGGCACATCTGGGACAGTCCACTGCTGTGGCTCATGCAATCCACCCGTGGGGCCACGGGCAGGCATGATACTCGACGGTGGATCTCAGCAGATCCCCACAAGGGCTTGCTCAGCTCTTCCTGCAGTGTGCTGATTTGGGCTGTGGCAGAAGTCATGAGGCTCTGAGGCTCAGATGTCTTGTAAGACTGGATCCTTCCCACTCTACCCCCCAGGAAAAAACATTGTCCATCTCTTGCCTGAAATATTTTCAAATGGTAACTGCTTGTCACCATGAAACTACTTTCTTGTGGTTTTGCCTGCAATAAAGTTACAGCCATCAGTAATTTCAGCAATTGTCTGACAGTTGTGAGTGTGAGGCAGAACACAATTTAGCCTGTACTGACATTGATTTTGCTGCTGAAACATTACTACAATCTTGCTTTTGACCATAATTGTCAAAGCTGCAATTTAGAGTGAGGGTAGAAGAAGGACACAGTTTTTATCTGGTTGTTTTTAGCATTATAAATGCACATCAGCAAAGATAATGTCAAATTTTCACCCTGATTTTCTGTGCCCTGTA